ATAGATAGAGCTAGTCTAAAGTTTTGTTTACCAACTTTCCATAAGTCACAGGAAGGTAAGTTTGGCTCACCAAAACCTTACCTAAAAGCAAGGTAGCTTCAGCCTACCTCTTGACTTCAACAAAACTACAACAAACATCTAAATAACTTTAACCAGATTTCTCCAAAAACTGTCAACAACACTGCATTCAATTTTTACTTTCAACTGGAGCCTGTAACTGATAATTTTTCTCAACACTACCCTCCTTGATTGCCAAGCAGCATTGAGGAACAAACATCAAGTCTCATTTCCACTAAAGAAATTCAAATCCTTTAATTTTTTTTGTAATGGCCTTGCCGTGAAAAATACTCCTTGCTGCTTGGGTTCTTCCGAACTGCCAATGAAACACATCTGAAATTGCTTGTTCTCTTCCTTTTTCAGCTTCATAATTGCCATGGGGGTTACTTGATTTTTGTCATGCTTGCCGTTTTTTCTCATGGAAGCATTGCGACTTCTTAACCCACTCAGCTGACAGCTGACTTTGTTGTCACAAAGTATTTTAGTATGGATTTTCATTGCCTGAATCAAAATCTAATCATCCTCAACTATCCTCCTCCATGGCAGCTCTCCACTCAGGCCAATTTTAAGGCTTCATCCACCTGGAGTTGGTTCAAGTGAGACAATCATTTACATTCCTGCTGTAAATTTTCATCTAGGCGATCTCCAGTCCCCTCTAATTGGCATAATTCACTCATTCATTATTCAACTGGAATTTCTGCTCTGCCTTTGGAAAATTCCAAGAATTGGATTCTAGGAATTTCTGATTCCATTTTACTCCAATCCCCATCTTCACCTTTCTCATCGCGAATTTGACACTCCTGCTGACATTACACCCTGTTCAGTTAAAACAGGATTCAAAATTCTCGTAGGCCTTTGGATTTCACTTCTGCCTGTAGCCTACAAAATTCCTTTTCTCAGCTCAGTCATTGATCCAATTTTCCTCTTTCTTGACCATTGGCAATAATTTGAATAACATATTGCTTCCAAAAGCATTTTTGAGAATTGACCCAACCCCGGCGATGGTTCTGTAACTCCAAACCAGCTTTCGAAAGGCAGTTTTCCATCAATAGCTTTTGCCGTTGGAACAGCCGATTCTTGGAATCATATACATGCAGTGTTCTAACAGCTCTTCAGCCCAAAGAACATCCTTGGGTAGCATTTTTCTCAAACAAGGATGAACATCTCGCCATATTCATCACAGATCGGATGCCTTTCTTATTCACTTCACACCATCTTTGTTGAGGCTGCTGTACAGCTACTGTTAATCTGATTTGGTGGAATGCCAGCTTCTCTGCCACAATCATTTGCCCTGAATGATTGGATGTAAATTCAGCCCCCATTCATCAGCATCTTAACCAATCTTGAATTGGGGAGCCAGCCTTGATTCTCTACCATTGATTGTAAACTTCCAACGGACACACTTTTTTTTTCGAAAAACTTACAGCATTCCTGAATTAGAAGGAAATATACTCCTCATGTAGGCAATCTGGTGTACGCTCATCAAATAAACAATAGAAAATTACTTGCCTGCCATTGATAGATGAGCAACAACTCATTTTAGCGGCCACACCAACATCCAAATGTGATTAATTCAAGTTTCATCAGACAGCATCCTCCACTGCTTGATCAGCATGCAAATGTGTGTTTGGCTGAGTTGCCTACACCTGACCATATTTTCACATATCACTGCTGTCTTCGTTTCAACTATAGATGCAAATCCAAACACAATACTAACTTCTTGGATATGTAGCCAATTTTAATTTGGAATTGAGATTTGGTCTTGGTGACAAGCTCTTTATGCCACCAAACTCAGATTCTCTTTATGACTCAAAGCAAGAATTTCTCCTTCTTGACAGTCTCTTAACATTTAGAGGACAAAGCCTTCTCCGTGTTCATCTTTGACAGCAAATAAACTTCTGACGCCAGGGCAAAGATCCACTCTATTTCTTCACCAAGTCTTTATTCTTTACAAATAGCACAACCTGTACATTCCTTATCCAGCAATTTGACCAACCGAACAAACAAGCCTTTGACTTTAGTTCGGTACATAAAGAACATTCGGAACACAAGCTTTTGTACCTGAAGCGAGCTTTGCTCACAATCACATCTCCATTGCCCTTTGACCATGCACAACGGCCTACCATCCTTCCAAGTCTGTACTTTGCAAGATATAGGCTTGTAATCCCAAGCCCTATCGGAAATTCCACCAAGTTTTGACGTTGTCATGTGGTTAGTGCACGCCCACTATCACAACACAGCCATGCTTCTTATAGCCTTCAATTGACGACACCACATCTTTTCAATCTTTCTCATCTTTACTGCCCAAATAGTTGTTCTCTCATACTTTTTTCAGAATTTACGGCTGACTGTGCATTGATGCCATGGGCCTTGTTGTTTGCTGCATTTGGTTTGTTAGCTAGAACAAACCATTTCTCGGTGTGACAAAATTGCTTACACCACCTTTACATTGAGCTCCAGCGTCTGAACCAGCCAGTCTAGCTTCTCAGTGTGGTTCTGTTTTTTTGCCAATCGTCGAAAACAGGTCGAAATTCTGTCCTTCCTCCAATTTTTTCTTTGAACATTCTTCTTCATTTTTGGTTTCTCCTATCAAGTTTTCGCTTTGGCCTCATTGGAACCTCCGTTCTTGCATTTTTGTTTCTTATGACCGGTTCACACACAAGAGCCCTTTCCCCTCTCCAATCGCGTCTTCTATCTTTCCTATAGGCTTTTCTTTGTTCCTACAAGCTTTTAGCAGCACTTGAAGCCACCATTCAAAGGATACTTTGTGAATTGTCCCAAGTTTCTTCACAAGAGAAGAAATCTTGGCTTCAACATTCTTTCAGGGAGATCACCATCAACCTTTTCTCCACAGTCTGCTTTCTTCTTCTAACACTCTTCTCCCAACAATCGAATTGGCTTTACAATTTTTTCATAAACTCTTCTATTCAACATAATCTTCTCACCTTTTCATTTTCTTGTCCTTCATTTTCAACATTTCAAATTCTTTTCTTAAATTAAATATCTGCATCTGTCTAGTTTTTTCAGATCCATGATACTCAATTTTTAACTTCTCTCAAGCTTCATGTTTTGTCTCACATGTCATAATCTTGGTGAAGATAGGATCTGCAACAGCTGCATGGATATAGGATAGAGCTTTTGGAGCCTTAGCAACCTCTTCTTCTCGTTGTCTAATCTGCTGAAGGGTTGGATTTTGATTAAGAGGTGGAGGTACTCTGTTTTCCTCCACATACTGCCATAATCCAAGCCCCTTAAAATAAGCTCTCATCTTCATAAATGCAAAGCCCCTTTGAAATAAGCTCTCATCTTCATTCAGCCTTAAACACTGATAGTTCTCTCCCCATTTAAAACTGACACCCCGTGGGTGGTTGAAAGAGACATGCCTGCTGGAAGCATATGAGGGAAAGCCAAATAAACACGAAAAAACCTTCACAAATTCTTAGGTTATTTTGGTGGCTTTCTCTATGACTTCACTCAAACACACAACACAGCCCTTTGCAGATTCAAGCCGTCTGCCTGATACCACTCCTGTTGGTTCTTAGAACGAGCAGAAAAATTAAAGGAATGAGAAGGAAATTCTGCCCAGGGATAAATGAAAAAAAACAAGCTTGCCACGATTTTCTTAAGTGTTGAAGAAACACAATATTCACTTCTTACTTAATTCCTATTATCAGCATAATGTACAAACATCCTTATAGTAGAGGCTAGTTCTTAAAGTCTCTGCTTCCCACCAACCTTCCATAAGCTCAAGTGAAGTTTCACCCAAACCTACCTAAAAGCAAAGGTAGTTCACCTATCTCTTCGACCTTCAACAAAATAACAATAAAATCTAAATGACTTTAATAAGATTTTTCCAAAAAACTGCGTCTAACAACACTTGCATTCAATTTCTACCTTCAAATGCGGCAGCTCTCTGTAACTGTTTCGTACACTTTTAACAGGCCTGACGCCCCGTGGTTGCTGCTGAGTAGAGCTAGTCTAAAGTTTGTTCACCAACCTTCCATAAGTCAAGGAAGGTTGTTCACCAAACCTACCTAAAAGCAAGGTAGTTCACCTATCTCTTGACTTCAACAAAATACAATAAAATCTAAATGACTTTAATAAGATTTTTCCAAAAACTGTCAACAACACTTGCATCAATTTTACTTCAATGGAGCTGTAACTGTAACTTTAACAGGCTGACGCCGTGGTTGCTGCTGTTAGCATAGCCGCCCTGGTAAAGAAGTGAAATGGATTTCATGGTCTCCCCCTGCGCCTCCTTTCTTTAAACTTAACACGGACGGTTCGGTGGCAGGGAGTGTTTCTTGTGGTGGAGGCCTGCTTCGATATTGTCATGGTAGATGGGTCTGTGGGTTTGTCTCTAAGCTTGGTCAGTGTTCGGTTCCAGTTGCGGAACTCTGGGCAGTCCTGGAAGGTTTGAAAATGGCGCAGCAGGAAGGAGTTCATTTTCTTTGTGTGGAATGTGATAGCCAAATGGTGGTTCAGCTCATTAATGGTGTGGTCTGTTCATCTGGTGCTATTCAGCAGCTGGTTTTGGCGATTCAGTCCCTTCCCAGACAACATTGGACTTGCCAAAATCAAGCATGTGTTTAGAGAGGCTAAATTTTGTGCCGATTTTCTCTCCTAAGAAGCCTACAACTATCCTATGGGCACTCATTTACTGGTGAATCCTCCTAAAGGAATTGGCACATGGCTTTTACATGATTCTACTGGTGTCTCTCATCCTAGATTGTGTTTGTAACTTTAGAGCTTAGCTCTCATTTCTTTACCAAAAAAAAAGTTTGATATAATTAAAGTAGCAAAGTATGGAGTTTATGTTTGAGCCACAAATAGTTAAATGCAGTTAGGTCCTAAAAATAGTAACTCAAATGAGACCATAAATTAGAACACGGAAACAACTCGGTTAATCTGTTTCAACATTAACAGTAACTGCTATCTTAATTTGCTAGTAATGCGATAAATATGTGGGAATTGTTAAAGAAACGTTGCACATTCAATCCTTCTCTCTCTTAATTCCCTTTTCTTTTCCATTTCATTCCCCTGAGGAGTTTCAATTCAGATTTGAAACTCAACAGGGAATGTTTCGTTTCTAATTATTTCTTCTTCCAGCGCAGTTGCAGAAGAATAATTAGTATTCATTTGAAGAAAATGGTGATGAGGTGTTTGCTTCTGATGATTTTCTTGTTGATGCATACAGGAACGATTATAGCACAAGGATTGAAACCTCCAGCAGTAAAAAAGAAATGGCTAACTCTAGATGGTATCACCTTTCTTTTTTGTTTGGATACTTGTATTTTTTTTTCTTTGCGTACTCGTAACCTTACAGATAAAGTTTGTCTGGAATGCAGGTAAGCCGCCCCGAGTAATTGCCCGCGGAGGGCTTTCGGGAGTTTTCCCAGAATCGAGTAATTTTGCAACCGACGCTGCAAAGGAATTACCAGATGTGATAATACTCTGCACTGTACAAATGACAAAAGATAGAAAAGGAATATGTCAACCAGATGTTACGCTGGAGAATTCAACAAATATAGATATGGTATACCCTAATGGAAGCAAAACCTACAAGGTTAACGGCAAGGATGTTGAGGGGTGGTTTAGCATTGACTATACGTCACTAGAGCTCTCCAATGTAACATGTAAGTCACATAACTCGAACTAGTTGTGTCGGCTGTATGAATCTTTTCTTTAATTTAATCGAACAAACAAATGATTAATTGACTGTACAGTGATGCAAAATATATTCAGAAGGCCAAGTTCATTCGACGAGATGGTACCCTTGTCTACTCTTGAAGATCTTCTTAGTTCTAAAATTCCATCCGTTTGGTTGAATGTTCGGGTACTATATATATATTCCCTATCTATCTGTAATTAATTAAATTTATACGTTATTCTAAATTATTGTATGTATGTATGTATATATGCAGTATGATATGTTCTTTACTGAACACAAGCTCAATGTTGCACCATTGCTTCAAAAGCTTCCAAATATCAGTTACATTTCATCTCCAGAAATAGGTTTCTTAAAGAAAATGAATGGAAAAGGTAAAAAGGCGAAGACCAAACTCATCTTTGTTTTCCTCGGTAAAGAAGCAGTTGAACCCACAACCAATCAAACATATGGTTCAATACTGGAAAATCTTGCCACAATCAAGGAATTTGCGTCTGGGATTGTTGTTCCAAAAAATTATATTTGGCCTGTACGGAAAGACAACTATTTGGAGGCTAACCCAACTAGTCTTGTACTTGATGCTCACAAACAAGGTTTAGAAGTATATGCTAATGGATTTGCAAATGACTATGCAAAGATTTATAATTATTCATATGATCCAGGACTTGAGTACTTGAGCTTTATCAATAATTCCGAGTTCTCAGTTGACGGCGTGATATCAGATTTCCCCAACACAGCATCATCAGCTGTCGGTAATTTTTATTATCAATGAGTTAATTATGTTTGCTCTGATTAAAACATGCATCTAACCGATAAGCTCTTTTGGACGCAGGATGCTTTGGCCAGTATGGTGGATTTAGCTTGCCCAGAGAAGGTAAAGAGTAAGACGCTCTCCCTCTTTTAATATACCAAAAACCAAATCAACTAGCAGATAAAAGAAACAAAAAATTTGCATGCATGCAGATAGTACTGTAACGATAATAACTCACAATGGAGCAAGTGGAGTTTACGCCGGCTGCACAGATCGTGCTTATGAGCAAGCATTGAAAGATGGGGCGGACATAATAGATTGCACGGTTCAATTGTCCAGCGATGGCACGGCTTTCTGTATGGATTCTGCAGATGTTTCAGTTGAAACCAATGCAATGTCTAACTTCATGTCCCGTTCTTCTACCGTCCCTGAAATTAAAGAGTCTGCTGGAATCTTTACATTTGATCTCACATGGGCTGAAATTCAGACATTGCAACGTAAGCTTTCAATCTATCTAAGTCTAAACATCTATCCGTCAAATAATGAATGTAAGTCTCTCTTTCTATTTCTCTCAGCTCGATTGTCAAGCCCTTATGGTAACGATAATTTATTGCCAAGAAATCCGGCCTATAAGACCGCGGGTAAATTTTTGAAACTCGCTGAATTTTTAGAATTTGCAAAAGCCAAGGCACCAACTGGAATCTTAATCAACATAGAGGTAAAGAAAAGCCAGCAAGCCAGCAAGCAGTTCTTCGTTTCATCTTCCTTTTTTTCTTATGTTAATTCAAGAAAATTAATTACCTCCATTTCTGCGCACAGAATGCTCCATACCTGGCTTCAAAGAAAGGTCTTGACATAGTATCCGCTGTTAGTTCTGCATTGGAAAAAGCTAGTTTTGACAAACAGTCCACACAAAAGGTCCTAATCCAATCAGATGATACTTCAGTATTGTCCAAATTTAAGAAAATTAAAGCATACCAAAGAGTGTTGCACCTCAAAGAGGAAATAAGCGATGCACCCAAGAAGAGCGTAGCAGAAATCAAAAAGTTCGCTGATGTAGTCAATTTGCCAAGATTCTCCATCATTCCAACTGACGGCCAATTTGCTATGTACATAACAAAAGTCATAGATGAAATGCATGCTGCCAATCTCACCGTATACGTCTCAGTCCTCAGGAACGAGTTTTTAAATCTCGCTTTTGATTATTTTTCAGATCCTATTATCGAGATTGCTACTTATAATTATCTCAGTGTCGATGGGATTATCACCGAGTTTCCAGCAACAGCATACAGATATTTCAGTAAGCGTTATTAATTACATTGTTAACATCATTAAATATGCTCAAAACTGACTTATATATATTTGTTGAACTTGTGATCGTATTGCAGCGAATTTATGTTCAAATCCCGAGTATGATTATCCATACATCATCGCGCCTATTCAACCACCAATGTTACGTCTACTCCTGATCAGTGATGCTAAGGTGCTACCACCAGCACCATCCCCTAGGCCAGTCCTTGCTGCTGACGATGTTGTTGACCCTCCACTACCAGCAGTAACCAAAGTCACCAACTCTAGTAGTAGCACTCCTGCTCCGAAAGCCGATAAACCTGAAGATACTTCAAGTGCTGCCTTGCCAAATATTGCTGATATGGGTTTCTCATTACTGGCAGTATTGTGTTCCTACTTCCTAGGGGATATTATTCACCAGTGACTAACAGGCATTATCTTCTTCTTGTTGTAATTGCTACTATATATAAGAGATTGATCTTCAGCTTTCAATCAATGAGATGGTCCGAAAAGAACATTCCCTGCTCCTGTGCATTATGTATCTTTTAGCTATAAAAATCTATGCATAGTTTAAGCTAAAATGGTTTCGGCAAATGACAATTCCGGCCATGACTCCGACCACCATTCCAGCATTACACATATTTTTCTAAAAAAAAAATAGAATAAATAATGCGAATATGATCTTTATAAAGAATTAATTATAAATTTGATATATAAACTCTCAAGGGTATTTGACTAAGATTAATTTCTATTTTGCTGTACTGGACTTTTTATTTATTTATTTCTGCAATTAAGCGCATTTGACTGAGATGAATAGCAAGACCAAAACTAAAATGGCTAAAACACACGCAGATGGTAAAAATTCACGTGACCAGCACGTGAGTGGCCTAAGAAAATAATATAATTGCCTATCTTTTAACTTTATTAAGCTAAGCTCAGGGCAAGACGAGCGCAGGAGTTAATTTTGGTTGAATGCGTTAAATTTACTCATAAAACTTTATAATTTTAATCTTATAACATTTTTATTTTTGCGAATGACTCATTTTACACTTGAAAGCATAAAATTTTGGTAATATACATACTTTTTCAAAACGAATGTTTAATATCAAACTTTTAGGGTTTTTAGATTTTATCTATAAAATATCGACAGACTTAAGAAACAATAATTTCTATAAATTTTAATTACTTAATAAATTTAATAAATTTAATTTTGCAAATTAGTTTCTTTAATAAAATAATTTTGAAAATAATTATTTATACTGAGTCAACCAATTTAGTGACGCTGCATGGGCCTTAGCAACCAAAAACCAAAATTGGACTTCTTGTTTATTTTAATGAATAATGTAGGAATTTTGGTTTCCTTTGTCTACCGGAGCAATGGTTCCGGCGAGTAACATGCTGTCGGGTGATTGGGACTAGTGGAAACGTTGATGGGTTTGAATCATCTTCGGGGCTTACCCTTGCTGGTATATGTGTTTGCTTGCTTAATTAATCCGTACCTATCAAAATATAAGTCTTTACCGCTTTACATGGAAATTAAAATCTTTATCTCACGATATTATTTAATCATATTTCATTCATTATATTATATCCGATGGTTAACTCTTATCTCAAAATATAAAAATCGTTTAAAGTTCTTATACAGAAATTTAAACAGCAATAGATTTTTCCAAATTATATTAATAAAATTAAAGATAATATGACTAAATTATTTTTTATCTCACATTATTACTCATATCTTTATGTTGTATCTAATATAAATAAAGATAAAATTAAAAATAAATAATCTATTACTCCTTAAACTATTCAAAACAACTTAATACCTCCGTTTCATAATACGTGTCACATTTGAGATAATTTTTCTTTTCATATTTATTCTTTATATATGACCAATAATTATTACTTCAATTTAATAGTTTTCTTAGAGAATTAGTACTAAATTAATGATAATATAATCAATTTATTCAATAATTTATTGTAGCTTAAACAAATTTAATAATTTTTTTAAAGAATGTGAAATTTCAAATGTTACAAGTATTATAAAACAAAGATAGTATATTTTAAGACAAACAATCATCATAAAACAACTTATATTTTGAGATGGACGAAATATACATAAGGGGAATTTTGATAAAAAGAGATCATTTATTACTGTCACGATTCACTTTCATAGGCCGGACCGGCACTAGGGCCCAGGTAGGCTTAAGGCTACCGGAACCCATAGTAAGCCTGGAACACTATTTATCAATCAACAAACTCAATAAGAATATTCAATTGGACGGCCCAATATAATAATAACAATACTGATCATTTTAAGGCCTTAATTCAAATACAAACATATATATTCATCACTTATTAGTTGTTCAATTTTCTCCGACCCGTAGCATATTCATTCACAAAGTATAATCATAATCTCATTCATTGGGCTCCAACCAAATATTCAACCATAAATTCAAATTTATCAAAATAAGAGTTCACATTTAATTATTATTATTGTTACATACATAACACTCCTATAGTAATTGCAAATATCTCCGACTGTTGCAAATATTAGGGGAACCTAGCTAGATAGAAACTACTGTATAAAACTAGTTATTACTTCAACAAACTCTATGGAGAAAGGAGGAAGAGCGCTTCAATTTCTTGAAAAAGGAGTGAGTATAAAACTCAGTGAATAATAATAAATATAGCACATGCCCCAAACATTCACACGAGATGATTCCTAATGGCACTAAGATGAACACTCGATCAATCACGCACATGGCAAACAATAGCATCTGCATACAATAGCACGTTCACATAATCAAGAAAGTAGAGATTGGTCTGTGGCATCACCGAGACTCCTGACGAATCGTCCTCACACATGACCCGCCCTCTCATGATGTGTGCACCAGGGATCCGATCCCCATACATGGCAATCGGTCTAATTCTCACTTGATAGGCCCTCTCATTGTTTTTTCATTCTCTTTTCTTTTCTAGCACCAACAGGAGGCCACCCTACGGTTTTTTTTCATATCATCCATATCACTAGTGGTGACCGATTTCATCTCAATTCCACACAAATAAGGCATATCAATATCACAACACAAATAATCAAGCAATTTATTCAATACAAGATACATCAAATTAATAATTAAAATGCTAATATGAAGATATAATTACGGTATTAACATATGAATATAATTATATATTAATAATAAAATAATAATATAGAAATGATTACTAAGTTAATATTTAAACTCTTTTTTTATATGGTAAATATTTATGCATGCTAATGATGATATGCACTATTTACTATTACTCACAGTGTGTGGTGGCAACACAGCTCAACTGACATTCTTCGAGAAAGTTGAGGAGAAACCCGAGCAATCTAAAAGAAGTAAGGAAAATAAAGAGAAACCCTGTTAATAACATAATTGATTACCTAATTATTTATAAATTTCTAACTCCTATATCTATAGCTATTATTCTAAAGAAATTCTATCAAAAATTCGACAAAGCCTCCCCTAAAAACTGGACTAAACCACTTATTCAAAATCATAATTCGATAATCAATTCTCAAAGCTCATCTATTGGGCGATTCATATCAATTAAATCCCATCCGCCGTATCCAACATTTCACGATTTCAATATATATAATTTGATATCAACATAATCATACCCCAAATTTCAAATATCAAGCACCCAAATAATTCTAACTTGATAATAATTACCATTCAATTACATAAATATCATAAACAAATCAAAACTAGTTTATTCATAAAAAAACTAAACTATTTTATTTATATTACTCTACTCATATAATCCAATTTGTTGCTATTTAAGCATGCCAACTTTAATAACTAACTAATCTAACTATAAAAGACTAAAATATTCTATTAATATTAAATTCACACAAATAATTCAATTTATCACTATCAAAATAAATTTACTTCACTAGCTAACTAGATTAAATTTTCTAGGATTATAAAACTCACGTTCAACCCACTTTCTACAATTTCCGGCTTTAAAGCCCAATTTCTAAATTTGTATCAAATAATTATTCAAAGGTCAAATGAGGTCGGATTGCAAAACTAATTATAAATCTGTGATCTACGCGAAGAGAGCAACATTCTGTCTCTAGGGAGTTCCGGTCATCGGAGTCGCCGCCGCCGTACACAGTGGCCGGAGCGACGGCAGGCCCAGATCGAGCAAACTCAACATCACCTTGATCCAAATTTCATGTAGAGTCTAAATTTAATGTCAATTTATGCTAATTAAATCGATTTTATCCAAAACCCCAACTTGTAATTATTTTTGAACCCAAGTTAAATCTTTTCTAAAATTTCCAATTAATTCAAAAATCAAGTAAAATAACCTCTAGATAATCATCAAGGGGAAGGATAGTGGCCTACCTAATTGACAGAAGTCGCAGGAAACCGTTGAGCTCCCTAGAAAATAAAACCTCAGTCATGCGAAGTCGCGTTTTCACCGCAAGCGAAAGTCACACGTTATCGAAGAGAGGGGTAGAGAAATTAGTTGCTTAGTTCCTTTACTATCGCCGGTAGACTCTCTTTCCAGCCGACAGGAGCAGTTTTCCAGTGACGAGAGAGAGAGAGAGAGAGAGAGAGATTAATCTTTTATAAATTTCCATTAATTTCAAAAATCAAGTAAAAATAACCTTAGATAATATCAAGGGGAGGACTAGTGGCCTACCTAATTGAACAGAAGTCGCAGGAAACGTTGAGCTCCTAGAAAATAAAAACCTCAGTCATTCGAAGCTCGCGTTCCTTCACCGCAAGGCGAAAGTACACACGTTATCAGTTAAAAGAGGGGTAGAGAATTAGATTGCTGTAGTTCATTTTCATCGCCGGTAGACTCTCTTGGGTTCCAGCCGACAGGGAGCAGTTTTCCAGTGACGAGAGAGAGAGAGAGGAGAGAGAGGAGAGCAGTGTGGTGTTGCGTGGTTGTGGAAAGAGATAAGAGAAAAACGGAACAATAAAGAAAAGAAGAAGCTACGCGGTTTCCGGTTCCAAAAAAAAAACTGGAACGGAACCGAACGGAGAGGGTATGAGAAATTATTTGTGCCTTAAGTTCCTTTACTATCCGGCCGGGTAGATCTCCTCTTTCCAGGCGACAGGAGCAGTATTTTCAGTGACAGCGAGAGAGAGAGAGGAGAGAGAGAGAGAAGAGTTGTGTTGTGAAAAGAGAAAGAAAAGGAACGGAAAATAAGAAAGAAAAGAGGGGGGTGTTCGTTCAAAAAAACTGGAAAAGGGAAGCCGACGAAAGTTCCGGTTTAGTTTTGTGGTTTTGGTTTGAACCGAACGGTTCGGGTACGGTGATAAAGACCGACTGGTTCCGGGCATCGGTTTTCGGTTGATCGCATAAAATTTTAAATTTTAAATGTTTTGAACGACCGGTTTTCAAAATTTAATAAATTTTGTGAAAGTTAATTTTTGTAAAAAAAATACACCTAAAATTAAAAAATACTTCAATTAAATTTTATTTTTTAAAGACTTTGAACATAATTTTTTTTTTAAAAAAACATTCTTCAACTGAATTTTATTTTTTGTTTAAAAAATTTTGAACATAATAAAAAAAAAAGGTTGAACTTAATTTTTTTAAAAAAAAAAAAAATAAGTTGCCTACGTATTCTCTTAGCGTTTAGAGAATCAAAGCCCACGTAGTTGATTAACTTAAACTTATACCAATTTCACCTCTTTTTACCTTATCGCTATTTGCACCACCAGTTGATGTTTCCCGTTGAGTGACCATCGTAATAAATCATACTAAATTTTCATTTTTCTTGAGTTTATTTTCTTGTGCTCTTTAGCTTCGGGCCTTGTCCAATCATCCACGCATGAATTGTTGCTTCTAATGAATCGACAGTGTCATACGAGATCGTGTTATCATCAAGTAATGTTTCTCCTTGACTAAAAGCTTTTTTCAACCGGAACAGGTGGACGAACGAATCTGCTAAAACTTGTTTTGCAATAAAGAAAGTATTGGAAAAGTATTTGGCGTTATGACTCACTAATCGTAATTGGAAATCAGTAATTTGCATAATCATCAAACAAACTCAAAAGAAGTGGTTAGATAATTATAAAATTCAGAAAAAGAACTGGATTCCCTTTCCCTCCCCTTTTTTGTCTTTGTAGTACAACATTGTTGAGCAAACAACCAAGACACCAATTAAACCCTTTGTTGTTGGAAATTGTTTGAATATTAGATTTGAGAAAAATTAGAAGTAGTGAACTAGAAAATTGAACAAATTTATTATATAATTGCATAATATTTTGTTTAACTTCCATGAATACTATAATTTATATTAACATTATATCTAATATAATTTACACTTCATAATAAATAGTCAAATATTTAACATACAATTTTAACATCTAGGATCAAATACAATCGCACAGATAAATGGGTGGTATATTTTAAATAGATAACCATTTTGTTTTTTTTCATTGAAAAATATAATATTTTAATATACAATCAATTTGTCAATTCTTGGCAGTGCATAAAATTTAATACACTAGGTAAAAATAGAAATGAGATATGAGATAATAACCCATTAAATTTTGGTAGCAATCATTAAAATTTTTAAAATACTCTAAAAATTTTGCCAACAAATAATCCCCAATTTGTTGCATATAAATTAATAATCTTCAATATTATTAGTACAAAAAAAGCATAATATTCCTTTATAAGAAAAAAACTCGTTTAGTAATTCATATGTTTGAATTCAACGGTTGGGACATCTCTTTGGAAACGTTTTGGTCTTTTATTATCTTTTCTTTACCAAAATTTAGCCAACTTCTCAAATCACTTTGGGGATGTTACAAATTAAATGATGAAATAGCTTTTTTAATTGCGAGAAAATAAAATATCAAGAATTTTTTAAACCATCTGTACAGCATGATTTAAAAACATGGCATGCACATTTAAATGAAAAAATTTTCCACCATTTTGGTTCCAAATATTTTTAAGGTCAATAATTGATTTAGTATTAGCAGAACTTAATCAAAATGAAATTGAAAAAATTTTTTTGTCACAACTTATATTCATCTAAAATTGAAACAATATTTCTATAATTTTTTGTAATATAATTTATGTCACGACTCATTTCTATGAACGGACCCCCCCACAGCCAACTAGGACCTGGGTGGGCAAGTAAGGCCCAAAGCCCTAAGTAAGCTATATAATTAAAATTCGCATTCTATCACAATTGTGGATTCAGGCCCAATAATTTATTTCACAATTATATCCAAAGTACAATCCAAATAATAAATGTCTATACTCTATTTATTCATTTATAACCCAGTTAGAATACAATTGCGGAACTCTACTCCATAATTTACTATCTCTTACATTTACATATTCAATACAATGATTATTACTCCTATCGATCCATATCTCGTTCGTTCGATTGGACTCCAGGATTCTTCTTTCCATCTATTACCTGGGGAGGATTGGAGGGAGGGGGTGAGTACTAGACTCAGTGAGTAGGGTTAGATAACCCTCTCATCCCACACAATCACACAGATGCTAAAATATTTTTATTTGGTAACCAATTAATTTTATGATCATGCAGTTTGTCACACAAAAGACAATACAACAGCAATCACAATTATCATCACCTTCATGTAATCATATCACGTGGAAATTAGTCAGTGGAGTTACCGAAACCCAATGAGCCGTCCTCCCACATGACCCATCCACTCACATGTGCACCAGGGAGCCAATCCCCCATTCTGGCTGGCCAGTATAATCCTCACACGATCGGTCCTCTCATTATTTTGCTAATCTCTCTTCTATTTTCTTTTCTTTTTTTTTTTAAATACCAACAGGAGGCAACTCGATCGTCTCCATCCAATCTAGATCTTCAGGCGCTCAAACAGAAGGCCGCCCTGCGAGCTGCGATCAGATCTAAACTATCAGGTGCGGCCAAATAAAGAAGCTAACCTGTGGTTTCAGAATAGACAGAATTATCAAGTGCACATGGGGGCGCCGATCTCCCATTTACCCGGCTAACAGAAATCAGAATCAGGATCCATATATCAAAATCAGAATCAGGATCCATATAACAGAATCAGTCTCACAAACCCATAGTGACCCACTTCATCCCAAAACCCAATGGTGACCCACTTCATCCCCATTTCACACTAAACAAGGCAACAGTCAATATCAACATTCACAAGTAATTCAATGCAATATTTAATTCAACAATAGTGGGGCAACACAAAGAAATGTGGATATGCATGATAACATTAACCGTGAAAATGCTGAATGCAGGGATGGATGCGAATTATCTAACCACTAGCTCACAGTTTCATTTATTGTACTCTAAGGGACTAATGCGCACGCTTCCAGCATTTGTCTCCACCTTTCGGAACTTACAAACATCTAACATAATAAGAAAATTCTACATTAGAGGTCTAATTCAAGAAACGTACTTTTACTTTAATTATTAGTTTTGGTTACAATTTGCTTTACTCACATATCAAACTAAATTGTATATTTCTCTATATATATAGTTTCCCTATTTATTTATTTATTCGAATTTATAGCCTTTAGATAAAATTTCTAATTATAATAATAATAATAATGATATTCCTAATGATAATAATAATAATAATAATACCTAAAGTTTTAATCCGTTACTACTTATTAAGAATATAACTAATTTAATTCTTCACTAAGTGTTTTATTAAAATTCGGCAGCATTTCCTCTATAAACTGGACTATCCAAATTTTTACATAAACCATATGTCAACACACAGCCCATCCATCGGGCAATTCACATATCGGCAATTCACATTAAACTGATCTCGTCCGTCTAACCATCATTCATATCTTTTCGTTCAATTCACACAAGTCTATTCATCGGGCAACATCTTTTAATCAAACTAAAGTCTACCATATAATTAATTATTCTAATACCTAATTTTTTTTAATAAATCCTAAAAATTATTATTAGCTAAGGTAAATTTATAATGTTCAGTACCAACCTCATAGGTATAATTAATATTGCATGAAATTATTAACAATACTTTAAATTTGATTCACTTTAATACGTAATTAAGTTCATTAATTAATTAATTCGGGATTTATTCAAAAATTGAGAATTAAGCTTTAGAGTGTACCGATTGAAAATCAGATTTTATTTCCGTGATCCGTACAAAGAGGAGAGCATTCTGCCTCTTGGAGTCTCACCGTCCAGTCGCTGGGCCGCCACTACCGCCGCCGTCCACGGTGGCCGGAAAGTCGCGGATGCCCAGAAAATTGCAAAGTTACCACCGCCCAACTCCAATTCCTCTACTGGTTCCATTTTCGATGTCCGTTGAGCGAGATGAAACCTTTAACTGGGCGGATCGGACTTGACAGGAGCTTGGCAATCTCGGTCATGGCGATTTCGTCATCTGAGCTCCATTGCCATGATTGATGGGGGTGAAATGATCGGGTTGAGGAGAGGAAGCGATCTGTACCCTCGCTTCACGTTGAACCTGTCGGAAATGGCGAGAAGTCGCCGGAGATCGAGACGCAGGGACTATCACTTTGCACAGGTCCGATTCGAGCTGATGGAGGTCTCTTTTGCTTGAAAGATGGTAGGAAACATGACCA